GGGGGGGGGGGGGGGGGGGGGGGGGGGGGGGGGGGGGGGGGGGGGGGGGGGGGGGGGGGGGGTCGAGGGCGCGTTAAGAGGCGAGGCGGTGATGGACAAATGTAAGCGAGTGGGGTAGACAGACGAGAGTGACGGTGTTGCGAGGAATAATGGAGTGGATCGTGTGGAGGCGAGCGAGCGGGAAGGCGTGGAGGGCAATGAGGGAGCGCACGGTTGTCAGCACAGACGCACACAGACCCCGCCTTGCTTCCAAGACGCCAAAGACGTACTCGTGCTCATTCAATCAAAGTTCGGAGAGTTGGGTGCTTCTAGTTAATGTGGTGGTCGGGACGAGGAGCGCGACGAGAATGGAGTGGCTGTGGAGTATGCGTAGTGCGATAGCTGAGTGGCGTGTGATCGATCAAGACCTTGGGCGTGCACCGGGGTTTCGGCATTTCCCTCGTGGCGTGCAACTGCCAGCGCCATATTCCTTACCATACGCTTGGAATCGGCACACTTGCATATCAGCGGCCCTCAGCTTTCCCAAGTGCATGCATGAGCATGCAGATGTCGGGACATTTGCAGATGAGATGCTTGCCGGTGTCTGTATATACAGTGGACCTGTTTCCCTCAGAACATCGGCCGCTTAGCTCAGCTGGTTAGAGCATTGTACTAATACGACGACCGTATTAGCCTGATATGCAAAGGTCGGCAGTTCGATCCTGTCAGTGGTCAGATTATCTTTTTCGTTATCTCGACCCTTGGATATCACAACTGCAGATGGAGGTGGTCATCGTTGGGCGTCGTAGTGCCAATGTGGCTTCCGGAGTCTAGTCATGATCCAACAAACGGAACGATCTGCATGCCCCGGCGATCAACCTATCTCGACTGGAACCTTGGAACCTTGGAACCGTGGTGACTCTAAGCCGGGTGTGGCTGCACCGTGACCTTGCCGCCGATGCACACCGCGCCCCCAGCATCCCACTTCCGCGCATCGCCGCCCGTGTCGTAACCATCGGGGAGTATGCGCATCGCACACGGAGTCGACATGGATTCTCCTATCAGCGGTGTAATCTCGAAAGTTGTGATGACTCACTGTCGCGCCACTCAATAATGTGTCCGCGCTCCTCCAACCCGCGCACCGTCTCCGGCGCCACCTCTTCCACCGGGCGCCCGCGATGGCTACTGTGCTCGAGCACCGTAGCGTTAGGCAGGACCTGGTTATGGATGCGTGGCTGGGCCAGAGCCTCGCCCGCCCCCATGCCATACGCGAGCATGTTGCGCACGGCGACAATGTTTGTGCTCGGAATCGTGGCGCCCCCCGCAGCGCCGCCGGTAGCGACCGGCGTCCCGTCCTTGAGGACGATATACGGACACATAGAGGAGAGCGGGCGGCGACCTCCTGCGACAAAGTTGGCCGGCGCCGGCGCGTAGCCCCACACATTAGCGCGGCCGCGCACTGTGAAATCCAGCACTGAATCATTGAGCACAATCCCGGTTCCAGGAACCATGATGCGGGACGCCCACGCGGTGCCGACCGTCGTGGTGAGGCTCACTACGAGGCCCGACGCGTCCGCTGCTGCCATCGATGACGTGCCCGTGTCGTCGACGCCAGCAACACTACCGTCAGAGCGCCTCAGAGATCACACACCCAGAGAGATAATATTCTGGCGTCTGTGTCCGCGCCTGAACCCGATCGGCGGCGCCGCGCAGCATCGTGGCTTGAACAGTGTCGACGGGCACGAAGGCGGGGTCGCCGAGCGCTGTGCGGGCGCCATACGCCAACCGCATTGCTTCGGCCGTTACGTGCTCGTCCTCGACGCTGAGTGGCGCGTTGAGGGGAAAACTGTCGAGCGTGCGCAAAGCGCCCAGGAGCGTCGCACCGCTCCCCGGCGCCGGGATCGAGTACACCTCATGCCCGCGGAACGTGGTAGACAGCGGCGTCCGGTGAATCGGGGTGTAGTCTGCGTCAGCGCTGTCGGCTCATGACCTACTGGTGAGGTCGTCGACGCTCATGACCCCGCCGCGGCCGCGCACAGCCTTGACGATGGCGACGGCGACGTCGCCGGCATAGAACGCGTCCGGCCCACGCTCCCCGATCGCCTCCAGGACAGCAGCGTATTCCTCGCGCGCCCACATCTCGCCGACCTGGATGAGGCGCCCGTCGCGCGTGAAGGCGCGCACGAACTCGGCATCGTCGGCCATCCACGACCCCTCGATGCTTGGTGCGTTCGGGCACTCGCGTGCCAGGAAGTCGTACAGGTCGCGGCCCATGGGCGCACCACGCGCCAGCGCCGCGCTCGGTGCCACGAGCGACGCCCACTCCGCGCGCCCGTACAGCTCGTGCAGGCGGTACAAACCCTTGATCTCGCCTGGGACGGCGACGGCATGGCCGCCGTGCGGGGAGGAGTGGGCCATGAAATTGTCCATTGTCGTCGCGGCGGGTGCGCAGCTGCGGAAGTCGATTACGTCCCATTTATCGGGAGTGCGGACTAGCACAAACCCACCACCGCCGATGCATGAGTGGTAGGGCGCGAGCGTGCCGACTGCGAGGACGACGGCGATTAGCGCGTCAACTGCGTTCCCGCCCGCCGCGAGGATGTTTGCCCCGATCGCCGAGGCGGTCGTGTGTTCACACACTACTGCTCCGGTAGTGGGCGTGTGTGTCATTGCGGCTTGCTGGGCAAGGAAGAAGGTAGAGGCGTGCTTATGAACAGGACCAGCGACCTGGTGGGCAGAGGTCAGGCAGTAGCCGTGATCTCTGATACGGAGATGACCGATACAAGTTACCGACTGTAGCCGATTGACAATCCACAAGCGCTCGCATGTGGCGGAACACTATACGAGGCCTGCGCGCACTACCCAAAGCGCCACTACACAGAGTAACGGCGCTGCGAAGTCCTCCCAGAGGTATGCAACGCAAACAGTCCTCTTCGTGAGGGCGCGCAACAGAGAGCAACGAGATGTCTTGTATGGGGAAGACGAGTTTCTCCTTCGATTGAACGACTGAAGCCGAAGGTGAGCTCCACAATGACATTCTGCAAATACTTTGCTCTGGTAGACACCGCAGCGACACCTGGGGCGGCAGCCCAGAGGTGAAAACAGTAGACCCTCCAACAACAAACGGTCACCTCTCTACAGCCATTCACAGCAAAAGATTGCCCGCTTCCGCCGGCTTGCTCGCACGCTGAGTCGAACAGCGGTTAGCTCAGATGAGATGCGCGATCCACAACGAACTGTGATAACCACCTACACTATACGAGCTCGAGATTTGAGGCTGTTGGGGGCAACATGTTCCAGGAAGTCGGCTGCGGGCCAAAGGGAGCAAGGGTTATGACCCGCTGGCCATGACTCTCTGAAGACGTGGATCGGGGGTGAGCAGCGGGGTCAGTCGCGGCTTCAAGGCGACCATGCAAATCGGTCTGCACGCCGTCCTGAACACGCCAACTTCGACTACGTCCCGAACTTCACTGGTGCTCAAGTCGCGCATCCCTCCCATTCAACAATAAGAGGCCGACAGGCCCCTTGCCGTGAGGCCTGCAGATAAATGCCCACCAGTGCATGCTATGAAATAGATATTCAGGCCACTTGCCGCCTGCCTTTCTCGTGGGAACCCGACTGGCTGGCTCTCTACTCATGCCCGCCGCAGCGCGCCTCGACCCACTCACGGTCGCGGCCGACCGTCGTAAGATTCTCACACGGCGCGTTCTCGCGCACGACCACCACGTCTTCAATACGCACGCCGCCAACATCGAGGTACGTCTTGAGGATATCGTGGTCGACGAGCGGGCTGTCCCACACGCCGTGGATGTCGAGCAGCTGCGGGGGGAAGTAGCACCCAGGCTCGATGGTGAGCACCATCCCGGCAGTGAGGGGCTGCCGGATGCGGAGGTACGCGTAGAGCTTGGCGGGCGTTGCCGTTGTACTAGGCGGAAGGTCAATCTGTACCTCGCGAAGGTACTGCAGCGAGTCGTGCACGTCGAGGCCGAGCGAATGGCCTGTTGTCAGGTATGTCACTTGCTGTCACCCACCGAGACCGTGCGGGAAGAATGCAGCGGTCAGGCCGCTCTGCAGCATCTCCTCTGCTGTGCCCTTGAAGATACGGAGCTTGATGAACTCCTCGATCAGCACCTTGTGCGCATGCAGGTGCAGCTCATCCCAGTGCACGCCGACGCGTGTGCGATCCTCGCATTCCTTCTGCATGCGCAGCACAATGTCGTAAATCTGGCCGGCCTTGGGCGTGAACTTGCCGCCATTGCCTACGGGGATCGTGCGCGTCACATCGGACGCATAGCCGTGCCAGTCGCAGCCGGCGTCAATTAGAAGCACCTGAGGCTCAAAAGCGGAAGTGTGCAGCGAGTTTGTCGGCGTAGCATGATCATGCTCGGGAACGTCACCGCAGCAGCCGCGTGCCAAGCGGCGGGGAGTAAACGAAGTGTCGCCAGGAGCGCGGGGCGTGGCTGTGGAGGGGAATAGGCGGTCGTTGCAGCTGCCGTCAGATTTGCCGCTCCCTACGAGTCTGCCACATACACATAGTGGAGAGTTGAAGCGTGAGACCCAGACGCGCAGATGGGGAGGTAGGCCTGCTCAGCACCCATGCGGCGGCAAGCCGCGACGAAGAGCGCTTCCGCATCTTGCTCGCTCTCGACCTCCCATTGCGCCGGACCTTTGAAACCAGTCCTCTCCTTGGTGCCCGCTGCGATAGTTTTAGCGCGCTTTGCGGCGTACCGGCCCAATTCGCGCATGACGACCTCGTGTGCGCATGACGTGATAGTGTTTGCCTTGCGGATAAGCTCAATCTCCTCCGGCGTCTTGGTCAAACGGGCGAGGTGGAACGCGCGACGCAAGTGCTCGGTGCAGTGTTTGTTTTTCTTCAGCGCTTCAAGCACAGAAGAAGGGAGCGGTGGGAACTCGTGGGTAACAGGGAGGGTGTGAATCGTCGTGCCCTCAAGCTGTGCAATGTGCGACTCGAGCTCCGTGGTGCTGAGAATCGCGCCGGCATCAAAGCGCGCCGCGGCGTCCTCCAGCGTCGGGGGCGCAACCGACCACATCGTCTCGAGTGGGTCTGCGGGTGGGATGAACAGCGTGTGCTGCACATCCTCGCCGGAGTAGGTCACGAGAACCGAAGCAGAGTGTACATTGTGAGCGCCGGTAAGGTAGTTGAAGTTGGCCTCCTGGTCTCGGGAGTCAGCTCGAGCAACGGGACTGCACCTACGAAATGGTAGCTCGCGATCCGTGTCGTCGCGGCACGTTGTGGGATGCCCTTGCACAAAGATTGCGTGGTTCTGAAATTAGCACTTGAGCGCTCGTGAGAGCTTGGTGGCTGCGCTCACCCCGCCGCGCTCGCCCTCGGGGATTAGCTTGATGAGCTCGGCAGCGAGCTTGGAAGCATGTGCACGTGCTGGAAACTTCGTAGGCGAGTCAACAGTCATGAGAGGAGTAAGTGAGAGAGGGAGGGAATGGAAGAGAGCGAAAGCGATGGGACAGAGTCGGAAGATGAGGAGCAGGAACGACGGCGTTATCCGTGGGCCCCGCGTGCACCACATGGACATACATGTGGAGGGCAGCTAAGCGCTGGCATGATCCGCCGGCTCCGCTCCGCCCAATCGGCGACGAACACGGAGTCACCGACGCGGAGGATAGAGCAAGTACCGCATGCATACTACTATGACAACAACAATGACGGAGATAATCAGATGCGCTCGGCCTCAGAGAAGGGCTCCGGTTTGGAAGAGCGGCGGGAGCGCTTGGGCTCCCGCTTCCCTTCGGGCCGTTCGGGCCGCTCCACCTTATCAAGCAGCTTATCGATCCGCGCTTCGTAGTCGAACGAGTCTTCGTCAGAACCAACTCCGATGTCGCGTGTCGTAGGCGCTGGCGTCCATGACGCGGGGTGAGCGGCAGGGTCGGGCTTGAGCACCGGCGGAACCTTGCTCTCGCCGAAGGTCACGGTGGAAATGACGACTCCAAAAACCACCAGCACGACGATGATGGCAATGGCGCGTCGCGTCGCCTCCCACTTGGCGCTCTCAATCTCCGTCTTCAGGTCCCCGATGCTGATGGTGGCTCGGTTGTTGATCTCCTGAATATTGATGCTCGTCTGCTTCATGTCGCTGCGGATGTCCGTCTTGCGGTTGCCCATGTCAAGCTCGATGTCGTGCTTGAGCATCTGGACATCCTCGCCCATTTTGAGCTCTACACCATCTAGGTCTCTCCGGATCGCGCTAAGTGCATTTCTCCCCGCAATGCCTGTGTTGCGGTTCCGCACGTTCCATTCGGTGCGGAGCTTGGATAGAGCTGCTTTGAATAGGTATGCTTGCTTCGGTTAGCGGCATTCCCGTGAGCAACTCACGTTGTCCAGCTCCTCCTTGCTGAGCATGTTCGTGGCTGCGCGGTCCACGCGCTGGGTAATAAGACCTCTCACGCTCTCCATAAGTGCCCTCGACACATCGGGGTCAATGCTCGCTGCATTAAGCTTGGAGACGAAGCGATGTGTATCGAACGGCTGGCGCACACGCTTCGGTGTCACCACGAGCGGCTCAGGAAGGGGCACACGGGCAACGGCGGTCGCGGATGCGTCGAGTTCCTCTGCTGGCGAGGAACTGGGCCCAGTACGTGCGCGGCGCATGTCTTCGGCGCGATTAAACTCTGGCTCAGGCTGCACTTCAAGGGTGAATTCCCGCCCAATGTCGGTTCCGCTGTCTTCGCGGTCGTCTTGGAGGCTCCCGCCCTCGCTGCTCCGGCTATGGTCCACAGTTGTGTCGAGTCGGGGCCTTTGCAGAACGTCCGAACGGGAGAAAGGGCGCATGTTCGGCCCTTGGGCGGGCGGTGGGGTCGGCTGCGGCAATGCATCTTGCGGTCGTGCATGCAACGACCGCGTCTGTGGTGGAGGTCGCAAGCGGCCGCGGCTTGGAATCCGACGGCACACAGCGATGCCAGGAGGGCGGAGCATGCGGGCAAGGACAAGGCTGGTGCAGCCGACCTAGAGGAAGTTGTTGAATGTGATGTTGCGGCCAATGTGTAGGAGTGTCGAGCTGTCACGTCGTTGGAATCGCGTTAAGAGTCGCGGGCTGGCTAAGGGACCAAGATCCGGACTGCCGATCGATTTCGGTGACACAACGATCGTGAGAATCACGCGCATCCCACGTGATCAGCGCGTGGCAGTGCCTCATTCCCATCCTCCAGTGTCCGCGGACTGGGATGCTGCTTCAGCTTCAACGCACTTGACACCAGAGTCCCGGTCTCGACAGGAGTCAAGGAGGCCAAATTGCTCGAGCTCGAGGTCAAGATCAAAGCGACGTGCTAGGTTCTCAAGTTCTCAACCGTCAAGGGATCACCATGCTAATCTCTGTTGGCAAGCGACTTTCGCTGACCGTGGGTATCACTAACCCCCCGTTCTTCCGCTGTTGCCTGTGCCGCCGCACGTCCCTACGCAATGCACGTGCCTATATCAGCTTTGTTTGGCGACTTAATTGCCGTGCCCAAATGTGTCGGCGGAACGGCAGCTCAGCGGCGGAGTGAGTGAGAGTGAGAGCAAGAGCACAAGCAATCTGTCTAGCACATTGACATGTACTGGACCATACATGCAGCTGTCAGCCCCATCCAGATCGCCGTCGCGGATGTGATCAGAGCGAACATCTTTTGTTAGCAACATATCAAGGCGTGCGTTCACTTGAACTGCCCACTTGACAAGAGTCTGACGCGCCTGCCAGATGTGGAATGTGACGCAGCCCGTGACTGGCCCGAGCTCACCAGACGGTTCGTCTCTTGACCTGCTCACCCACTCTTGTGACGCTGATCTCGCATCCACTCTTTTACGAGGATTATCGCGCCGGCCTCACCTTCTCGCTCATTGTCTTCTCCTGGCACAGCGCACTAAAGCCTCCATTGCGACAAGCACGCAGCTGTCCACTGTTTTGGCTCGCACGCTCTCTCTCAGGGATCGGTCATCAGCGGCAAGCCTATCAACGAGTAAGCCTCACGGTAAACTGTCCGCGCAACCCACTCTTGAGCGATCCACTCCTATTCAAACGTTAGCTCAGCCGCCGGGTTTGGGAGCCCACGCCAATCATGTTTGGGCAGGGTGTACGTTGGAAGGCATCGTGAGTACCTCGTGTTCAACCTTTCTCTCACGTCTCCTGCACCCTCTCTGAGCCGCTCCACCAATCGCTCTCGAAGCAAGCTCTGGGCCTGGTTGAGCCGAGCGACGCCTTTTGAGAGCACGAGGTCGTGTGCGCAAGGAACGCCGGAGGTTATCTGCATCCGAGAATCGCTCCGCACAACAATCTCCGCCTTAGACACACTTTCACTCCTTGCTCTTCGCTCGTTGTTGCCCACTCTGCCCCGTCTTATATTTCACCACCCTTCATGACACATCCCTCGTTCGCGTGACCCCGTACAAGCCGCGGATGCTGGGGCCGCAGGGGCTTGGCAGGGTGCACGCCTACCGCACAGCGGACATCTACTTTGGCATGCGTCAGCCACGGGCCATACTATGCGGTGGCGCCTGACACTTCGGAATCTCGAGGAGACGCTGTTCACATTACACTTGGAACAGCTTGTCCTCTTGCTAGACAGGCGCCTTCATATTTCTGCTGAAGCAACCTGATCTGTTGTGGGTAGCTTCCCATCGCGCATTCTGTCTAGCGGTCCACCCCCTACCATGCCGAGTCCCATCCGGACACTACGCGCCCGATGCCCTTCCAGATCACCATGGCCGTTTAGTATTGTGTCTCACTTGTTGCGAGACCACTGCGTCACCCACACAGAACCGCTGACCTCAGCATCACGGCCATTTAGGAAAATTCGAGATGGGCAGCTAGTTCCTGCGATCTGCGGCACCCCTTCGGGTGCCTTTCGCCGAACAAGTTCATGCGCGCAGACACATGCCAGTCGCTTCGGCACTGCTTGCATCATCCCATTATATCTGAGGCCGTTGCACCGGACCACTCGCACCTACAAGCAGAGAATCGCCTCCGCTGGCTTCATGAATAGACACAGGGCGCCTTGATGAACAGTGTATTGGCGGCCGGCATCATCCTTGGTGCCTCGCTCACATAAAGCAGTGCAGCTTTGACCCCGCATGTGCTTACGGAGAGAAGCCAAGTCTGTCATTCCATTACAGCGGCGCCGCCGATCGCGATTCCCCCC